GGGGGCGGTCGGACATACAGACACTGATAAGTTGCGTGTATGTTGTGGGTGCATAAAGATTAGACAGGCAGACAGACAGACAGACAGACAGACAGACAGACAGTGACAAGTTGTGTATGTGCGGAATATAGGTGTTATGTGTGTGTATATATATTATATATGGCATACTCAATAGACGCACTTCCTAAAATACACGGAGAACTACTCACCCTTCCGTGCCCGTGGGCGAGTCTGCCTAGACTTGCTCTGCACTCGACCGACGATCTTGCTGAGAGGTTTCCTTGAAGTGTGTGGGGCCGATGGTTCTTCCTCCTCGATATCACTGTCACTATCACTACCCGGCCCACAAACTAGAAGGGTCTCGTTCATGTGAGGGACGCTGTTGGCTTTTATCCAGTCAGTCACCTTCTTGCTGCTGCTGTTTGTGCTACCGCTGCTGCTTGTACTACTGCTGCTGTTGCTTCTACATCTACCACTGTTGTTGCTTGAGCGACTACAACTTCTGTTTCGATCGCTGTTGTTACTTTTGCTTTTACGACTACCATTGCTTCGTTCATTGTCACTGTTGTTCCTGCTTAGTTCACTACCACTATTGCGTCTACTTCTACCACTACCACCACTCCTACTTCTGCCACTACCACCACTCCTACTTCGTTCACTACCACTGTTGCTCCTACTTCGTTCACTACCACTGTTGCTCCTACTTCGTTCACTACCACTGTTGCTTCTACTTCGTTCACTACCACTGTTGCTCTTGCTTCGTTCACTAGCACAACTCCTGCTTCGTTTACTACCACTGTTGCTCTTGCTTCGTTCACTTCCACAACTCCTGCTTCGTTCACTACCACTATTGCGTCTACTTCTACCACTACCACCACTCCTACTTCTACCACTACCACCACTCCTACTTCTGCCACTACCACCACTCCTACTTCGTTCACTACCACTGTTGCTCCTACTTCGTTCACTACCACTGTTGCTCCTACTTCGTTCACTACCACTGTTGCTCTTGCTTCGTTCACTACCACTGTTGCTCCTGCTTCGTTCACTACCACTGTTGCTCCTGCTTCGTTCACTACCACAACTCCTGCTTCGTTCACTACCACTACCACTGCTTCTACCACTACTCCTGCTTCGTTCACTACCACTGTTATTCGAGCTCCTGCCACTACCACTACTCCTCCATTTACCACTATCGTTGCTGCTCTTGCCTTTGCCACTATCACTGTTGCTCCTACTTTGTTCACTTCCACTATTATTCGTGCTCCTGCGAATACCGCTACTCCTGCTTCTTCCACTACCACTGTTGCTTCTGCTTCGTTCACTACCACTGTTGCACCTGCTTCGTTCACTACCACAACTCCTGCTTCGTTCACTACCACTGTTGCTCCTACTTCGTTCACTACCACTGTTGCTCCTACTTCGTTCACTACCACTGTTGCTCCTGCTTCGTTCACTACCACTGTTGCTCCTACTTCGTTCACTACCACTGTTGCTCCTACTTCGTTCACTACCACTGTTGCTCTTGCTTCGTTCACTACCACTGTTGCTCCTGCTTCGTTCACTACCACTGTTGCTCCTGCTTCGTTCACTACCACAACTCCTGCTTCGTTCACTACCACTACCACTGCTTCTACCACTACTCCTGCTTCGTTCACTACCACTGTTATTCGAGCTCCTGCCACTACCACTACTCCTCCATTTACCACTATCGTTGCTGCTCTTGCCTTTGCCACTATCACTGTTGCTCCTACTTTGTTCACTTCCACTATTATTCGTGCTCCTGCGAATACCGCTACTCCTGCTTCTTCCACTACCACTGTTGCTTCTGCTTCGTTCACTACCACTGTTGCACCTGCTTCGTTCACTACCACAACTCCTGCTTCGTTCACTACCACTGTTGCTCCTACTTCGTTCACTACCACTGTTGCTCCTGCTTCGTTCACTACCACTGTTGCTCCTACTTCGTTCACTACCACTGTTGCTCCTACTTCGTTCACTACCACTGTTACTCCTGCTTCGTTCACTACCACTGTTACTCCTGCTTCGTTCACTACCACTGTTACTCCTGCTTCGTTCACTACCACTGTTACTCCTGCTTCGTTCACTACCACTGTTACTCCTGCTTCGTTCACTACCACTGTTACTCCTGCTTCGTTCACTACCACTGTTACTCCTGCTTCTTCCTCTACTATTACTCCTACTCCTGCTCCCGCTTTTATCATTACCACTTTTGCTGCTCCAACTACGAAACGGCTCAGCACCCACAGCTGTCATGGGCTCGGCGTCGCGAGGTCTTTGTGATTTATCTCGTGGACTTTGTGATGTATCCTTAAGCGAGCAGAAAGAGAGTTTTGAAAGTTTTAAAATGAGTGTTCCGCTCGACTGGGTTGTCTTGGACGCCAAGGTGGCGCTGTCGTCTGACCTGTCTCTCTGGCACGACGGCTTTTCCTCAGACGACAACCAATCCTCACACTCCGCCTTGTTTTTGAGCTGTTTCTCTTTCCCACTCTTTGAACTCTGGTTCTTCTGTTGTTCACTTCCTGGGCTCTGGCTATTCTGTTCTTCGTTCATTCGTACAAAGTTTGTCTGTTTTTCACTCGTCAGACTTCCCTTCTTCTGTTCTTCGCTTCTTGGGCTCTGGCTATTCTGTTCTTCTTTCATTCGTACAAAGTTTTTCTGTTTTTCACCCGTCGGTCTGCCTTTCTTCTGTTCTTCACTATCACTCATTGGTACAAAGTTCTTCTGTTCTTCACTATCACTCATTGGTACAAAGTTCTTCTGTTCTTCATTCATTCGTACTAGGTTTTTCTGTTTTTCACTCGTCGGTCTTCCCTTCTTCTGTTCTTCTCTATCACTCATTGGTACAAAGTTCTTCTGTTCTTCACTCAATGGTACAAAGACCTTCTGTTCTTCGTTCATTTGTCTCCAGTTCTTCTTTTCTTCGGACATTACATTCTGGTTCTTTTGTCCTGCATTCATTGAACTATGATTCGTCTGCTCTTTTTTCTTCGGTTTTCTGACTGCTGCTGTATGCTTCATCTGCTTCTCTGTAACATTTTCTTCAGCCACAGCAAGAATGTGTTTGAATTCCATCGGTGGAGGGGCGTCGTATCTGTCAGCGTGTCTGACTAATGGCTTCTTTGGTCTACTTGGTCCTCGGCTTGTTCCCACGTCAGATAAGGGCGACAGACTTAGTGGTTTTCTCTTCTCTTGATTCCCAGACCTCCGAGGGGAAGAAGATTTGAAATACTTGCTACTGCTCGGACAACTACTTTCATAAACCGACGTCCTCTTTCGGGTGGGCGTCTTCTTTGCTGTCTGTGAGTAATCTTTCTTCACAGCTCTCTCCCAGGCTTCTCTAGCCAGGCGAACAATCCTCTCCCTTTCTTCATCACTCGTTTCTTTCTTGGGCGACGAGTTGGTGCTGTCATTCAAGTCAGAAAGAGCTTCCTCGTTGGCTTTTTTCTTAGGGATTCTGTAGCCTTTCATCTTCTCCTCTTTCCAGTCTCCCCCTCCCTCACTCTCTCCCTTTTATAGCCACTCTTCTGTCTGTTAGTCTATCTCTCTCTTTCTCTCCTTTGTTTTATAATCCACTCTTCTGAGGACAAAGATAACAGGAAACAGATCAGACAAACTGAAGGAGACATGCCAATACACACCTACCCTCTAACAAATAAATATTATGTTAAAAAATAGGCGTGTTTTACGCTTTTATGCCCTCCCCCCCCCCCTTTCCCCGAACATACAAATACACATAATACTTTGACATCATTATTGTTATTATCATGTATGTCCAAATAATTATATGTATCTTGTTTCTGGTATGTGTGCGTGTGTGTGTGTGTGTGTGTGTGTGTGTGTGTGTGTGTGTGTGTGTGTGTGTGTGTGTGTGTGTGTGTGTATGTATGTATGTGTGTGTGCGAACACGCGCGCACGTGTGTGTTTTCTTGAAAACATTCGTCATAACACTTACTACCATGCTGACACATTTTCTATCAAACCTAATAACCGGCACCCAGTAGAACAACGTAGGACAAACATAACAGAATGAACACATTAAATTGGGGGTAAACAGATAACAAATGCTGAAAATAATAATTAATCGTTCTTTTCGGTGAAAATAGCGGAAAACCGACATCCCTGGAACAAACTTATTTAATTTACTCATCAAAGGTCGCACTGTGGTAAAGTACGAAATAAAAGGCTACTTAATGCATGCTATTTTTCTTGTTTTGATAAATACGCAAACGAAATCGTTGGAGCATGAAGGCACTCCGTTCCGCTAGGTCAGTTGGTATCATGTTAGAGTTAATGACCCTGGTTCGAATCCTAAACTCAGTGTTCTTGAACTTGAGCTTGGTTTTTTTTTTTCTTGAGGCTCTCCACCCATTTGGCTCGGTCCTGTCGGAGACAGGCATTAAATTCTGGGGTTCCCGTCTCTTTATAACCTAATAATGTTGACAGGGACATTAAATCTTACACTTACGTTTACCTAGTTGGACCATGTGTACGCGCATGATATCAATAAATGTACCAAATGTATTTTAAACAGCAAATCGGATAAGAGTGAAGTGTGAAGTAGACCCCCCACCACAAAAAAAAAAAAAAAAAAAATTAAAAAGAAATAAATTACAAAATTAAAATTTGAATAAAATAAAATATTGACAACAATGAATAGATAAAAATAAATAATCTACATTAAATTAAAAAAAAAAGATTTAAAAAAATGAATAAAGATAAAATTAATGAGAATTTTGGTGAATGATATAGATCTACGTTTTTAAAAATCGGTACCGGTACAATGAACAAAAAAAATCAGATCTTTACAACAAAATGGACAGATTGCAATCATGTAAAAGGGGAATGTAATAATTTAAAACAGCACGTAATGATTATTATATTAAAACTTCCATTGAGCTTACATATTATAGAATAACAGCAATGAAACCATATCCATTTAAAATTGAAGATTAAT